GGGGGGGGAGGAGGAGCAGCAGCAGCAGTGGTAGCCACGGGCTGGACGACGGGGAGAGCGGCGAAAGCAAGAAGGACAAGGGGCGCAGGGAAAGAGGACGGAGTCAGGAAGGGAGGAGGGCGGGCGCGCAGATGAGGAGGAGAAGGAGGAGGAGGAAGAAGAGGAGGAGGAGGAGGAGGAAGGGGAGGAGGAGGAGGAGGAGGAGGAGGAGGAGGAGGAGGAGGAGGAAGAGGAAGAGGAGGAAGAAGAATGGGGAGGATCCGTGTCACAAAAATGACCCGAACCGAAGCCAGTGAGCGCACGGGCGCAGCACATCGGCGTGGAGAAGCGCACCCGCGTGCAGAAACTGCCCCCTGAAGCGCCTGGCGCGCGTGGCGCACCTCGCCCCATCGCGCACACGGGGTCTGCACTGGCCCCCAGCAGCTGCCCATCCACAGACGGCCGATGAGCACTCCGAGGCCCGGGTGCTCGGAGCATGCGGGCGGGGATGGGTGCCTTGGCCCCTCCCCCGACGCCTCCCCCGGGCCTGGGCGGGGCGCCCCGCGACCCACTGGAGCGTCCGAGAAGGCCCCGGCGAGAGAGCACGAAGCACTGGTTTTACGCAGGCGTTTTGCCCACGTCGGCCTCCTAGGGGGGCCCTAATTGAGCCCCTCCCTTCTTTTATGATCGATGTCCTCCAAGACGGTCCCAAGATGGCCCCCAAGGATCCCACGAGTGCCCCAAGAAGGCCCCAAGAGGCGTCAAGGAGGCCCCAAGAGGGCCCCAAGAGGTCCCCAACAGGCTCCTAAGAGACACCCAAAGGCCCCAAGAGGCACCCCCCAGGCGCCGAAGACGCTCCAAGAGGCCCCAAGGACCGCCACGAGGCGCCCAAGACACCCCAAGAGAACTTCAAAAAGCGTTCAAGAGACATCCAAGAAGACTCCGAGAGGCATCCAAAAGGCCTCTGGCCATTCTGCTCGCCCTCCTCCCCCTCCCCCTCCCCCTCCCCCTCCTGCTCCTCCTCCTCCTCCTCCTCCTCTTCCTCCTCCTCCTCCTCCTCCTCCTCCTCCTCCGCCTCCTCCTCCTCCTCCCCTCCCTCCTCCTCCCCCCTTCTACAACAGTTAAACCACATGAATACTGCTCTCCCTCCTCCCCTGAAGTTATCCGGATCATCTCCCGCACCCTCCGCGTCTTGCTTTTTCCCCCAACCATCCTGTGGTGTTGGGTCCTCGTTTTGAAGAGACAGCGCCCCGCGTTCCCACTCCTCCTCCTCCTCCCGCTGCCCCCTCTTTGCCTCTGCCCTCTGCATGTTTTTTTCGGCACACCACTCACACGCTTCGTGGCCCCATAGGGAGCTCCACCGAAGGCCCCAGTGGCTGCGCTCGCATGACGGCGCACCCCTCACACGTTCCGTGGCCCCATTTGGGAGCTCCACCGAAGGCCCCAGGGGCTGCGCTCGCATGACACCGCCGCACCCATTTCAGCACACCCTTCACACGTTTCGTGGCCCCATCGGGAGCTCCACCGAAGGCCCCGGTGGCTGCGCTCGCATGACACCGTCGCACCCGTTTCGGCACACCCCTCACACGCTTCGTGGCCCCACAGGGAGCTTCACCGAAGGCCCCAGTGGCTGCGCTCGCATGACACCGCCGCACCCATTTCGGCACACCCCTCCTTGAGGGGCTCCAGAGGGGGCGTGCTGATTAAGCTCACCCCTTCTCTGATCAGCAAAAACATTGAAACGCACACACACACACAAGAGTTTTGAAAGCGGATGGCTTTTCGGGGTATCCCGCGGAGGCTGTTGGCCGATGGGGGCTCCAAGGTGGCCCCTGACTCTTTGAGATGGCCTTCAAGATGCTGCAGTGTGGTCCAGGGGGCGCTAATTGGAACCCACCCCACCCTCTTTGATCGGTATATCCTCCAAGATGTTCTCAAGAAGACCTCCAAGGCCCCCAAGAGAGCCTCAAGAGGGCCCCAAGATGGCCTCAAGAGGCGCCCAAGCGGCCCCAAGAGACTCCTAAGACGATCCCCAAGAAGCTCCCAAGCGGCCCCCAGGAGGCCCCAAGAGGCCCCACAACCCTGATCAGCGCAACTCGCCTGGGCATCGTTGTGAACGCGTCATGGGGGAACGGAGGGCTCCAAAACGGGCCAAGAAGGCACCAAAACGCTCCCAGAGGGCCACGAGTCGCCGAAATATCGCTCCTTGACGCCCAAGTTGGCCTCCAGACGGCCTCCGAAGCTGCTAGGACGCCCCAAAAGGCCCCCAAGATGCGTCCAAAGAGAATCCCAAGAAACATGAATCGTCCCATCCCCTTGGAAAAACATCATTTTTCGAAGACTCGCCTCTACGGCATCCACAGCGTCCAAGACGGGCAAAGAAACCTTCAATATCGCCCCCGGACGGCCGAAGGGGTCCCCACGAGGGGCCGAAGAGGGCCCAAAAGCAGCCCACGAAGCCCCCAAGACAGCCCAAGAGGGCCCCCAGACGGCTCCAAGAGGGAGTCCAGAGGGCACCCGTTCGAGCCAAGAGGCCCGGAGGGACCCCCAAGAGAACCTCAAAGGCCTCCAAGAAGCCCCCAGGAAGCCCCCAAGATCGGGAGACTCTTCATGGGGGGGGATCCCATGGGGGATAGGATCCCAGGAAGGGGATCCCATAGGATCCCCTGGGGATCCCGTGGGGGGGCAGGAGGGGATCCCATGGGGGGGATCCCCTCCTGCCCCCCCATGGGATCCCCCCCATGGAGAGTCTCCCGACAAGAGGCCCCAAAACTTGGCCCAAGATGCCTCGAGGCGGCCGGATAGGGCCTGCAGACAAGCCAAGATGCCACCACAAGGCCACAAAAGAGCACCAAGAGGTACGATAACAGCAACGAAGCAACAGGAACGATGTCGAGCTCCGTGTCATGATTCGGACAAGCCTCGTGAAATGCAGTCCTGCAGGCGTAATAGTTTATATAGGGGTCGGCGGATGTGGCGTAAGCCTATAGAATCAATGCAAAGACGTATGTGTCTTCCATGATTTCGGCACCCACAGGCCAACTTCGAGACCTGGTGCTAAAAAGAGGAAGATGAGGAGGGACGACAAATCAATGTGAAGACCCGCGTGATTTCCATTTCAACACCGAGAAGCCCACTTCGAGACCTGATGCGAAAAAGAAGACGACCCGGAACGAAACATCGGCCCTGGGAAGTGGGCCGAGAAGTCCAAAGACCCACGTGTTGAGAAAAAGGACACCACGCCAGACCTCGTGGAAAGGAGGGAGAGTAGCAGCAGCAGGAGTAGTCGCAGGCTGAAAGACGGCGAAACGAGATGAGGAGGAACAGGAGGAGGAGGAGGAGGAGGAGGAGGTGGAGGAGGGGCGGCCAGTAGCAGTAGTCCCAGGCTGAACGACGCGGAGAGGAGGAGGAGGAGGAGGAGGAGGACGAGGAGGAGAAGAGGGAGATTCATCATCGGGGGGTGGAGTCCTAAGGTGAAGAACGGGGAGGTGAGAAGGAGGAGGAAGAGGAGCAGCAGAATGAGCAGCAGCAGTAGCAGACGCAAGATGAGCGAACAGTGGTAGCGAGATCCGAGCGACGCAAAAAATCCTCGGCACGATAGCGAGGGCCACCCGCCTGACACAGAATCACTCGGGTGATCTGATGGGGACCGCGTGGTCTCCGCATCATGCCCCTGTGCCCATCATCCGAAGAGCGGCCAAGCTGCGGTACGCCGCGGAGCCCAAATTCTGTCAAGCAACATGCAAACATCAAAAAAACAAACAAAGAAACACATATGAAAACAACAAAAAAAACAAAAACAAAAAAAAAAAAACGTTTGCATGGCCAGCGCCTCGAAAGTATTGCAAGACGTGAACTTTGAGCGAGGGACGTGGTGCATCGGAGATCTGCTCGGGCGAATGACGGCGCAAGCGGGCGCCACAGGAATAGCAGCCCGAAACAGTCGCAAAGCGAGTGGCGGTTTCATTGCCCCAGGCGACCAGATAAACTAACAGCACTACGAGCTGTTGTTTTCAAGCAGTTGCTCTGCTGTTGCCCCATCCACCTGTCAGATCGACACGGAGAGAGGGAGAGAGAGAGAGAGAGGGAGAGAGAATAGGCAATGGGGGCTCCAGGTTCGGATCCTGCCACGCTGGCGGATTTACGTAAGTGCATCAGGCAAGTGCACATCGACCCCAAGCCAACCGCCTCCGTCGGATTGGCTTTCCAGGGACTCCAGGTACATGATGTTATCAAGGGATGCTCCTATGCTGTTGACAGCCTGACTCTGTGAAGAGGTTTATGTGGTAAGTGCATGCTCCGATCGTTATTCGTTATGCGAGATCTTCTCAGAGGACATGGGGTTCACAGAAGAAGGATCGGCGATACGAATCACACTCCTCCAAGTTCAGATCGTGCGAAGAAGTCTCACGAACTCTGCACCCTGGTTTGAATGCCATGCGTTCTCAAGCAATCACGAGGTTGCCGCTGGATCCAGCAGCAAAGCCCAAAAGACGGCAACATGCTCTGATGTTTCACTCGTGCACCCAAGGATGGCCGAGCCGTTTCGCATTTAAATCAAATCTGCTAGTTTTGCAGCCCGATGAACGACGGCGGCGGACCTGTCGGGATCCCAGAGCCCGCCAAATGGGGCTGGGGCAGACGGGGTCGAAGGACCTCGCCCGCATCGCCGATTCATGCACCGGCGATGCACCAGTGGCACGGGATGGATAATACCAGGCTGCAGAGAAACTTCCGGCCCCATCTACACGGTGCCCATCTCGGCGGCCTGGAGCAAAAACGGCGATCCTGACTTCCAGGCCACCTCACTTCGCGCGTCGCGCCCCACGATGCGCGCCGCAGGGTTATCTTCGGGCCCTCGCGAGGCCACCTTGGAGAAGGGCAGCTCTTCGGCCGAGGCCGCGACGCGCGAAGCGTGCTTGTTCTCGCGCCCCTGGGAGCGAACCAGGAATTCACCACTCCGCCAGAACACGAGGGAGGTCCTAAGGTGACGGCGGGCCTGTCAAACATCATGCTCTTGATGGGCGGGTTCTCGTCGCCCTCCTCGCCGAGCACGATGCGCGTCAGCGAAGCGCGCTCCTAATCGTCGTTGCGAGTTCGTCGACGCACCGACGAGGACGACGAGACGACAACAACGCACGAGGACGACGACGGTGGCGGCGACGACGTCGACGACGGCGGCGACGAGACGACGACAACGACGACGACGACGACGACGCCGGCGACAACGACGACGAGACGACGACGACGACGACGACGACGACGACGACGACGACGACGACGACGACGACGACGACACGACGACGACGACGACGACGACGACGACGAAGACGACGACGGGAGACGAAAACCGCGACGAGACGGCGACGACAAGACGACGGCTAGACGACGAAACGACGAGACGGCGAGACGACGACATCTGGACCGCGGCGGCCACGACGACAGGTCTCCGCAAGACCCGGGAGGCCTCAGGATGTGCCCGGAGGCCTCCGGAAACGTTCAACTGAAAAAATCCGTCCTCCACGCTCGGCTCTCGAGCTCTGGCAGCGGCGGCGGCAAGCACCACGGCGACGACGAGCGAGAGGCGTGCTCCTCCTCCAGGGCCAGGGCGTGCTCCCCGATGGTGGCCACCTCGGGAGGCGCTGGTCGTTGTCGTCGCCGCCGCCGTCGGGGTCGTCGCCGTCGTCGTCGTCGTCGTCGCCGTCGTCGTTGCCGCCGTCGTCGTCGTTGCCATCGCCAGTGTCGTCGTCGCCATCGTCGTCGACATGTTCGTCTTCGTCGTCGACGTCGTCGCCGAGGTCATCGTCGTCGTCAGGCGTGCCCCCCCTTGGTGGCGCCCTCCTCAAAGCACTTGTCTACAACGTTGCTGGAGCACTTGTGCTGGGTGAACTCCAAGATGCGCGCCTGGATGAGTTGGGGGAAGGAGGAGAAGCACGAGAATGGGGAGGAGGAGGAGGAGGAGGAGGACAAGGATGAGGAGGAGGAGGAGGAGGAGGTGTTATGCCACCATCGCCATCCTGTGCTCCCTTGTCCCACTCTTTGCTGGAGATTCGTGACCTCTCCACCCGCTGACCAACCGACCGACCGATCGACTGACCGAGGAGGTGGAGGAGCAAGAGAAGCGCTTAGCCGGAGGGTGCCGTGCTCCGCTTTGCCGGCTGCGCCCCCGAAATTTACCTCAGCACGGCCACCGAAGAACCTCGTTGGCACCGGCGCAGGCGTCTCGTGCGCACCGTACCCGCGTGCTGCTTGCAGCCTCCCAAACTCGATTCCTTGCTGTTGAAGCTCACCACGAACTCTCCCTCTTCAGAATAAAAATAAGAGGCGGAAGATCTATGCAGAGGTGGGTTTGCCCGTGCGGTATGCCGAAACGCATCTGTGGAATTGCATATGCGTCCGACATTAGGCTCAGCGTGTCATTCCCCAAGGTGTTCCAGCGGACCGTCGTCGTGACCACGGTCGCACGCAAAGGACCGTCAAACAGGAGCAGCACCAGAGGAAAGTTAGTGAGGAAGAGCAGGGGATGAAACAATTGATTGGCCGCATTGTAACAGTGAACAGTGCAGATTCATGTGCAGCCATGCGGCTCCTCGGATATGACCCAGCTCCCAAAGATGTTCCAGGAATCGAGTTATATAAGACCAAGTCGAACATGCGCAGATTCGAGATTCCAAGACCGCCAAGCTGGCAAGAAAGGATACCCAGACCTACTCAATGAGTTGCCGCGTCTGCAGCACATGATAAGCACAACGGGGAAGCTAAGTAAACAGCTAACGGAGTTGGGGTCCAAGCGAGACAAGTGTCAAGATCATACTGGCGGTATACCCAGGACGAATGGCCGTCAGGAGGATCTCTGGCAAACTGAAACCGGTCTACCGGCGCGGAGGGACGCTATCCACAAGCTTGAGGCCCTAGATGGCTACATGGTTGGAGAAGGACCCCAAAGCCGCCGTGGGCAGGACACCCAACACCAGACGGAGCAGCCAGTTATGTCCCACGGCCACCGGCACGTTGGGTTCCGCACGAGCCTTGCACGGGTGGCCAGCGGCGTGAGCAGATGGAGGCGGCGGCGGCCCCCACAGGACCGATGGTGCCGCCGACCACCTGCCCGTGTCCGTCGCCAGCGCCAACGCCGCCCCAGCAGCCGCAAGCTGTCATCCCGCCGCTGGCGCAGCAGTCTCACAAGATGTGGGATTAGTAAGGAGCCGAACTCTATACACCGACGCATTTTCCGACCCCGCACCGAAATTCGCACAGGAAAGCGGATCCTGGTGTATACGGGATCCTGGTGTATGCATGCGTCGTTGCTTCCCGGGAGGACGGAGACAAGAAGTATACACCACACCAACCCGACGTCGTCCCCGACCCTCAAGAAAGTCCTGGGATTGAAGAACAGCCCGCCACTGGTAATGTAAATGTTCCAGCTTCCGAATTAGGTGACGCGTTTGGCTGACATGGTGAAGCTATTGGTCCGGAGGCAGTCCGTGACGGACAAGAAGATAGCCACGATACTTTCCAACA